TGGACAAAGGTGCAAACATTTATGGATGAACATCACCCTGACAAAGCTGTTGCAGGCCTTGTTGGCAACACGTACAATGACAATGTTGTGTCCCATTTTAGGGAAGTTTTAAAGCAACGCCAGAAACAGACCTCTCTGGAACATTTTTTTGGAGCGACAGGGGTCCAGAGACTCTTAAGCTGGTCCTAGTGGCATTAAAAAACAAAGGGAAGTAACCCTGGAAAAGGCCTTGGTACCTGAAGTCCTTATGGAAGGGGATTCCCCTTCTAAACACTAGTACACCTCCATCCTCTTCCCTCCTCCCGTCTCATCACTCTTCAATAAATCTTCAATAAAGGTAAATATCATTTTCGTAATGTTTTATTCTGCATGCCTCATTGTTTCCTGTGTAGGGAAATGTATATTTCAATTAAAAATTTTTTTTTTTCAATACTTTTCGGTGTTGGGAATGGATTAATTGGATATCCATTATTTCTCATGAGGAAAATTAATTTGGAATTAGTCAGATTCAGGTTTAGTCACTCTCTCTGGAATGGATTAATTATGAAAGCTGGGAGTCCACTGTAAATGGTGCAAAGGTGACATTAAAACAATATCTAAAGATGGTTGACACAAACCCATTACCAGTACAGTATGCTTGAAATATCAGTAAGGGGCAGCTCCTCTCATAACGACCAATTTGCTAATTGATCTACTCTTAGAAACAGAATTCGGTTGCTAAGTGAGGAGCACTTGTAATGCCTCGGGCTTAGCATAACATTATTACTGTAGATACCGTTTATCTTCTTTTTTTTTTCAAAAATCTGCCAGTAACAACTGGAGGACTTCCTCGACACCAGAGCGTCTTGTTTGCTGTAAAATGTGGTATTTACTCCATCACATCCATAAATATTTTTATTTTTCATATCTCACTGTCAAAAACATCAATGTAGGTGTCTGTAATTTTTTTAGATATAATCAATCCCTGAGTGATAGCAAAAAGGAGGATTTATTATTTGGTATGCTTGGGTTTAGTGTGGGGTTTTAACCGTTTCAGGGTCCGTGCCGTAGTTCTAAGGCTTTAAGTTCTGGGTCCAAATCATAGTTCTATGCCATGAGCTCAGTTCACTCAGATAAGCTGGGAGTGGTAAATTTGGGCCAAGATGCAAGAGAATACATCTATGTGGTAAGTGTGCACCACATAAAACAAATCCTGCAGCACACAGAACATAATGAGATAAAAAAAACAGACTAATTTTGGATTAACAGACACTTTGCAGTGTTTTGTCGTGTTTCTTATTTTTAGTTGTATTTGCAATTTCTTGGTCTCATTTGATAGAATGGAAGACATACAATAGAAATAGAGATGATTTTAATTGGTTTTAGTACTGAAAATGGCTTGAAACTGAAATCAAAGTAGCCGAAACGTTAAATTTTTGCCAATGTTCAAGAGTAAACAAATGACCATCATGCATCTAATATGCATCAGCTTGTGGGTCTAACATACTTTCACGAATGTGGTGATATTATTTATACAATTATTACAACATTGCATAACAGTAAATCTTCCATTTTTTGGTTTGAATAAAAAATACATTATGTGAATAAAAAATAAAATTGGAATTCATTTGTAAAGCCTGAAAATGTAACTAATGAACAGAGGAAATGGTAGTTTAGTGCCAGGAATGTCTGCATTGTTTATTCTGGATCCTATTTTGAAATTGGAATATTTTGAACTTTGTGTTAAATTGGTCAAATTACCAATATCTGATCACTTTATTGGGTAGTTGAAACAGTTGACTTGGCAATTTCTTGTGCTCAATTTATAAAACAGAAGTAATACTAACGAAGTGGCTAAGAATTTGGTCGACTGGAATAATATAATTGGCCTAAAGTGGGAGTCAAAGTAGGCAAAATTGCCAATGTGTAAATGTCGCTGATGCATCAAAACTCGTGAGAGCATAATTTTGTAAATTTCGTAGTTTTTTTTTATTACCTTCAGAGAAAGATTCTCTACCATTTCATAAGAAATTTTTTTTTTTTTTTTTTTGAAAATTCTTAGACCCTGTGGACAAGTCTCAGATCTTGGGTCTAGATCCTGAAAAGGTTAATAGTACCTCTGGTATTGTACCATCTTGTAACATGGCTCCAGGCTCCAGAGTCACAGGTTTTGGCCAAATCTGTGAGAAAGAAACCCCACCAATGGCGATATATTACATACTGTACTTATTCCTTCTTAATCAGTTTAAATTGTGGTAAAGTGTGTGTAAATGTAGAAAGTTGAAAGTGAACACAGAGAAGAGTAGTTGAAAGTGAACACAGAGAAGAGTAAGGTGATGAAGGTATCAAATGATTTAGATAAAGAAAAATTGGATATCACATTGGAGATTGTATGGAAGAAGTGAATGTATTCAGATATTTGGGAGTTGACTTGTCAGTGGATGGGTTTATGAAGGATGAGGTTAACTGTAGAATTGATGAAGGAAAAAAGGCGAGTAGAGCGTTGCGGCATCTGTGGAGACAAAAAACTTTATCTATGGAGGCCAAGAAGGGAATATTTATGTTAATTTATTCTACTGTGGGGTGTGTATTTATCATGTTTATATGTTTCGTAGCGTGTTTCTTATATAATTTTGAAAAAATATCATAGATGGATTAATCAAAATGTCTATATTAATGTAATATATGACATTTAATGCACCTCAGAGTGATTATTAGTGCGTGTTATTATTATTCTTATTAATATGGCATCAAGACTAGTAAGACACTCTTAGTGATTTTAATGTGTACGTGCATGCCAGCACATTGTGCAAGTTCATTTAGGTACAGGTACACATATAATTACCAGAGTATATATAAAATATGAAACAACTTTAAAACACTTGAAATTTTGGAAAATTTCCAGACATAATGGAGAGTCGTGCTCATGGAGAATGTAAACAAACCGGGTGGCCTGTGGTGACGATATTAGAAAGTCAGGTAGGAGCCGCCTTACAGTAAGTTTTGGTCATAATATGAAATGTCCATTTTAGCAATGTTGTAAGGCGAAATGCCATAAAGCGGGGCCCAACTTTAATGTGTCCAAAACAGTTGGCATTCTCTCCAAGATACATTATTAAGTACCAGAAACAACACTACTTGCATTGTACTTTTCACTGATCTACCTCTATCTCGTCTATTCTATTTGTGCCTGGGGATCCACAACAGCAAATCATATTAAGCCAATAATAACTCAATAAAAGACCGCAGCACAAATGATCACATAGTCCACTGCTAGACAATCCCCCTCTCCCCGCTCTTCAAAGACCTAAATCAACTCGCTATACAAAGCATTCACTCTTACTACTGTGCATCCTACATTTACAGAACATTAAATTCTAATATTAATCCTGACCTGAAGCACTTTCTTGATAATTGCAACAGGACCCACAGACATAATACTTGGCATAAAAATCTCTATGACATACCCTTGTCTGGCTAAATCTCTGCAAAAATTCAATGTACATAAAAGGGCCCAAAATTTGAACTCTGCCAGAAATCTCTAGAGCCATTGTCTCGGCCTGCATCTTCAAAACTACCATTAAAAAACACCTTCTCTCCCTAACATATTCCAACATCAGTTCAATATGTGAAAACTAAATATCCATATTTTCATTGTCACTAATATATGGAACACAATATAATCTTCATCTTAATACAGTGAAACCTCGGTTTTCACTTGCCCTGGTTTTCGTCGGATTCAGTTTTCAACGACTTTTTTCATCAGAATATTGTCTCAGTTTTTGTCCGCTGTACTGAACGTGTCCGTCAGCCCACACCCACACAAAGCATCCCACGCATGCATTCTGAGTCAGTAACTTTGTTTCTCGTCGAGTGAACATTACCCTGCGCATTCATATGAAACATTTTGTAATAATCCATTTTTTTTGTGCTTGTTTATTGAGTGCGACTGCTAAATAAGCCACCATGGAGCCAAAGAAAGTTCAGAGTACCAGTCCTTTGATAAAGAATGCAAGAAACATGATAGAATTCAATGGTGGTAGAGGGTGGTAGTGATGGTGGTAGAGGGCAGTAGTGATAGTGGTAGAGGGCAGTAGTGATAGTGGTAGAGGGCAGTAGTGATGGTGGTAGAGGGCAGTAGTGATAGTGGTAGAGATAACCTCTCCCCTCCTCGCTGTCTTCCATATGCCAACAAGTCTCTTCTATTTAGGTAAAAGTAATTTAAATGTTCATTTATCCATTTCATTAGTGCTTTATATTTATTTCTCATTGTTTTCTATATGTAACACTATAGTAACTCTCTATAAAATGTATTTTTTGTTAATACTTTTGGGTGTCTGGAACGGATTAATTGGATTTACATTATTTCTTAAGGAAATTATTGCTTCAGTTTTCATCAAATTCGGTTTTCATCACTCTCTCTGGAACGAACTAAAGACAAAAACCGATGTTCCACCGTATCTGTAATCCTGAAAAACCATTAAAACACTGAATGTGTTCACATTATGTTAATATGCTATGTCTAGTTTTAATTAGTGTGTAAGCATTAGTATTGGTCAGCCCAAAATGTTCAGGCATGTTAGCGTCTTTCTTTGTATCTAACATTTTATAAAATGTAAATCACACATTGCAACCTTTGCAAAGAAGTAAAATTGTATTGCATTCATTTTAAAAAAACAAGATACTCATATCAATTCAATATTCCAACAATTAGTACAATTATCTTTCAATAATATAAGTATAGTAGTAGTAGCAGCACAAATTATCCACAATATTCAAACAAACATTTTTAATTGGATGTCCCTGCTTTGATGAAAATCAGCTGCTTTAATAGGAAATATTTAAGTATACTGAGGTTCTACTGTCAATAAAGCATTAGGGAAAGTTATTAAAATTGTTTGCACACAGCACTAGAGAAAAGCTCAATAACTAAATGGATGGACAGATGAAGACTGAGGCTCAGAGGGTTAATAAAGAGGAATGATGACACTGGATGCTTTCTTGAGGGGCTGCTAACATACCATATCTTCATGATCACAGTAAGTGAGGATGTCGCATGGTGTGCCTTCTAAGAGATGACTCAGATCCTGAGGGTTAGAGAGAATACACTACACTCAGCATGAGCACTTAGTTTAGTGATATACCCAGTTGTTGCTCTGGGAGATGGGAGGGAGGGACACTTTAAATACTTGAGGGGGGTGCAAGATACCCAAAAAATAATAAGCAAGAAAAAGGTGTTCATACATTGCTATTAGATTTACAATTATTTTATAAGACGAAGAAAAAAAAAAGCATCTTTTCCTGCTAAGCAGCACAAAGCATGAAGAACAGCTCTAAGCAACTTCCCAGTAATAAGTAATGTGGGGGCTGTTTCAAAGATACAAGTTATAAAGATTAGCTTCCTACCACTTAAATCCGTAAGAGAATCATTCAATCACCAGTTCATGAGCAGCAGAGATCTGAACAAGTATTGCTAACTTTTCATATATTACACTGTATGAAGTTTAAATATAAATTTGTTAAATCTTTAGTATCTTATGAGGCCTCTCAAACAAGGACTGATGACTATAATATCTCAATGTATTTACAAAAACAGTGGAGTTATTTTAATAAAATATGCTGTAAGATACCTTAACAGAGCTCCTGCTCTTCATCAGCTCGTTACAATGATGTAAAATTTTCATTCACTAATGATGTCACCACAAGGTTCAAATACAATACAGTAATAAACAAAACTAACCTAAAGTTGGCATTTATTACAGTACAACCCAGAACTGATGTTGGCAGCATCATTATCAAGGGAAAAGATGTTCAGAGTCGGCAAATAATCACCACACACAATGTCAGACATTAGAGAATCAATTCTGATATAGAGCACACTGCTGTATTTGTCAAATTTCAAGTTAACATGGCAAATTTGTTGTTCTTTGCAACTAATTCAAACCATCCATTTTCAATGTCATAGGTCACATGGTCCTGTAGCAATGATTTTATAAAATTTTGAGTTACAAAATAAAAGGTCATCATTGAATCCAGCTTCCCCAGAAGGATGACTGTGATACAAATAAATGCTCTGAATATCCAACCACATGCTACTTGACAGCCTCACAGTTAAGCAGAAAAATTATAATGAAGTTCTATTTTGAGAAGGGAAATCTAGCCTCATATGCCTCTTTACAGTTCTGGTAGATAGATCTGATTTTTTCCTTACTGACAGGATTCTATATTTTTTTGCAATTATTTTTTTTCCAGTGACAGCTGTAGAAGATTAATCCTAGTAAGGTATTCATGGGTGTGGGTCATGAAATAAAATTGTGATAAGCCTCACATTCACTTCAATGAACGTTACTTAGTATGTTCCTCAATACTGACAATAAATTTTGATAAGGACGATTATATTTTAAACTTGGTCTTCAGTGTGAACAGCATATCCAGGCATAACAGATAAAGGTTATTTCTAGAAGCACACCTCTTTTGGGTTACTAACCAATGGTGGACAAAACTTACTAATACTTGTCAAACTTGAGTCTCGCATAACCTCTGAAATGACCTTACAAAAAGTGTACAAGAAACCAGCACAAACCTAAGATAATTTTCAGAATTGTGTTAACAAGCTACAGGTGTGTAAAGGTAGAAAGTTGAAAGTGAACATAGATAAGAGTAAGGTGATGAGGGTATCAAATGATTTTTGATAAAGAAAAATTGGATATTACATTGGAGGGAGGGAGTGAGTATGGAAGAAGTGAATGTTTTCAGATATTTGGCAGTTGACTTGTCAGTGGATGGGTTTATGAAGGATAAGGTTAACCACAGAAATGAAGGAAAAAAGTAAACTGATCATCTTGTTTGTTACACATTGTAATGCAACAAATTTGTACAACTATAATGCTTCAAAATCAAATGAGAATGTTCAAATTTTCAATGTTTTCCAAATACTACTCAATTGTACTTCATATTGGTAAATTGTTTTTCGGTAATTTTTTACCACTGAATCATCATTGCTTAGTATTAAATTTAAGCCTGCCCATAATGCCTCCCTGCATACAAGGGGCTTTTGGCATTGTACACCCCAACTACTATAATTCCATGTAACAACTATGTATCATTCCAAATAAATAAAGATATATATATATATATAATATTATAAATATATATATAAAATAACTATTATATATATATATATATATTATATATATAATATATACACATATATATATTATATGATATACACTAATATATAAAAATACACACACACCATAAATATATAAATATATAATATATAATATAAATAATATATATATATATATATATATATAAATATATATAATTATAAATATATACAAATATAGTATATATAATATCAATAAATATTATATATAATATTAGGTTGTAGACAGCAACCAACCCCCCCAGGGAAGTACAACCATCCTGCCAGATGACTGTGAACAAAAACCTGTAAACTGTTTTGCATGATGGTAGGATTGCTGTTTCCCTTTTCCGTCCTCCTAAACACTCTAGATAACCAGGATATATCCTTGCTACTCCACTTACACTTTTGGTCCACACTTCACAGACAGAACCACGCAAACATGCATATATATATAAACATACATCTAGGTTTTTCTCCTTTTTTTTCTAATAGCTTTCCTTGTTCTTCTTTATTTCTTCTATGTCCATGGGGAATGGAAAAAGAATCTTTCCTCCCGTAAGCCATGAAGTGTCGTATGAGGCGAACTAAAAATGCTGGGAGCAATGGGCTAGTAACCCCCCTTCGTCCTGTAGACATTTTTACTAAAAAAAGAGAAGAAGAAAAACTTTATAAACTGGGATGCTTTAAATGTGCGTGGATTGTAGTGCGGATGACAAGAAACAGATGATTCTGATGTTATGAATGAAAAGAAGTTGGATGTCCCTGGCCCTAAGCGGAAACAAAAGCTAAGGGGGAGAGAGTATCAGTGGGGGGGAAAAAAAAATGGGATTAAATCTGGAGTAACTGAGCGATGTTTAGAGCAAAGGAAGGGTAGCAGTAATGTTAAATGATCAGTTATGGAAGGAGAAAAGAGAATAGAATGTGTAAATTCAAATTTATGTGGATAAAGTAAATGTTGGAGGGTGAGAAGTGGGTCTTAATAAGTGTGTATGCACCTAAGGAGAAGAGAGGAAATGCAGAGGGAGAGAGAGAGATTTTTGGGAGATGTTAAGTGAATTGTATAGAAGCCTTTTGAACCAAGTGAGAGAAAAAAAAAAAAGTTAAAATGTGGAGGGGACCTGAAAATGCTGAAGTAGTAGAAAACCCTTTTTTAGAGAGGGGTGGTGGAAGGTAAGTTTGGGTGCCAGGTGTTAAATGATAATGGGAAGCCCTTTGATTTAACTTTGTCACAAAGGGGTTTAGTTTATATGTTAAATACATATTTAAGAAAAGAAGGATAAAATAAGTATACAAGAATGAATGAGGGCGAAATGACAGTATTTTTTGGTTGATTATGTATTGGTTAATAAAAGACTGGTTGAGTAGACTTCAGGATGTACATGTTTTATAGAGGGGCCCACAGATATACAATCACTTTCTAGTTGTAGCTACACTGGAGTAATAAAGGTAGATGGGAATAGACAAGGAGAATAGAAGCCATCAGGGAAGATGAGAGGTGAAGGTTTATAAACTAAAAGTGGAGGCTATTAGGTAAAGATATAAACAGCTATTGGAGGACAGATGGGCTTAATGAGAGCATAGGCAATGGGGTCGGAAGAGGTATGGGTTAGGTTTAAAATGAGTGGTTAGAGTGTTCACAAAAGTTTTTTTTTTTTTTTTTTTTTTTTTTTTTTTTTTTTTTTTTTTTTTTTTTTTTTTTTTTTTATTTTTTTTTTTTTTTTTTTTTTTTTTTTTTTTTTTTTTTTTTTTTTTTTTTTTTTTTTTTTTTTTCTTTTTTTTTTTTTTTTTTTTTTTTTTTTTTTTTTTTTTTTTTTTTTTGTGGTTTACAGAAAGTGGGTGCAGGAGGGAAGAGGACGATTGTGGAATGATGATGTAAAGAGAGTAGTAAGGGAGAAAAAGGTTAGCATATGAGAAGTTTTTTACAAAGCAGAAGTGATGCAAGGTGGGAAAAAGTTATATGAGAAAAAGAAGAGGTTTAAGAGAGTGGTGAAGCAATGTTTAAAAAGAGAGCAAATGAGAGAGTGGGGTGAGATGTTTATCAACAAATTTTGTTTTGAATTAAGAAAAAAGTTTTGGAGTGAGGATTAACAAGTTAATAAAAGCCAGATAACAAATGGATTTGTCAGTTAAAAATAGTAGAGGAGAAGTTATTAATGGAGAGTTAGAGGGTATTGGGAAGATGGAGGGAATATTTTGAGGAATTTTTTTTTTGTTAAATGTTGAAGAAGATAGGGAACTGTGATTTCGTGTATAGGGCAAGGAGGAATAACATCATGTAGGAGTGAGGAAGAGCCAGTTTGTGAGTGTGGGGGAAGTATTGTTGAGGCATAGGTAAAAGTGAAAGGGGTAATGCAGCCGGGATTGATGGGAAAAGATAGAAATGTTAAAAAGACAGGTTGGGATATAGTTTTTGAAGTGTTTGGTGCAATTATTTTAATAAATGTATGGAAGAGGGTAAGGTACCTAGGGATTGGCAAGAGCATGCATATTCCTTTGTTTTAAAGGCAAAGGGGATAAAAGAGATAAGTGCAAAAATTATAGGGGATAAGTCTGTGAGTATACCTGAAAAGTGTTATGGTAGATTTATAATTGAAAGAATTAATAGTACGACGGAGAATAGGATATGCAGATGAAACAAGGAGGCTTTTAGGAAAGTTAGGGGTGTGTGGAACCAGGTTGTTTACAGTGAAACATAATAAGTGAACAGTATTTAATAAGGCTAAAGAGGTCCTTTATGTCTTTATTGGATTTGGAAAAGGGCGTATGACAGGTGGATAGGGAGGGCAATGGGTGGCAGATGTTGCAAGTGTCTGGTGTGAACAAGGAGGTAGGTTACTGAAAGCATGAAGAGTTTTTAACGAGGATAGTTGAAGGCTCAAGTTAGAGTATTAGGAAATAGGGAAATTTTTTCCCAGTAAAAGTAGGCCTTAGACAGGT